GCCCGTGGTTGGGGCACCCGCGCTGCCGCTGGACTTCACGGTTCGCGCCCGCCGACTCTCACACAACACGGTCATTCATATCCCCCTCAGCTGCCGGTTGCGCCTTCTCCGCATCACGCGGCAATGCTGGAACAGAAGCGCTGATGGTGACCCCGCCTGGGCCGCCCTGGAGGAGGCTCGCTCCAAGCTCCTGCTTGGCTCGGTCCCCCAGGGCATGGCGGCCGCCGACGAGGTAGGCACCCGGGCCTCCATGTGGGAGGGCGGTGGGTTTGCAGCACTCTTGGACAGGCTGGAGCAGCAACGAATCGTCATCGACCGCGCCCGGGGACGCAGCCGACCGCAAGGGGCTGACGACCCGGAACGCCGCGGGAGGCGAGCTAGGCATCTCGCCGCCGAGGGGGCCTACAGGACAGCGGCAACCTCTCTGACCTCCAGCATGCTGCCAACCACAGCCGCCGAGGACAGGGCGCACGCTGAGGGGCTCCTGCCGCGCACAGGGCGGCCTGACTCGGCGCTGAGTGGGCCGCAGCCGCCTCCCGGAGCGCCAGCGCCCGGTCCCCCTGCCGACCGCCCCGCCGACGGCGCCCAGCAGGAGGACGATCCCGACGACGCCTCGGCCGACGGTGGGCCCCTCGATGGTGTGCGACGGAGCAAGCTCACCGCTCCTGGACCTTCTGGCGCACGGCCGGAGCACCTCACCGAGCTGTTTTCCGTGCCGCGGCAGCGCGAAGCAGCCGTCCTTCGGCGGGCCCTGGGGCGGCTTCGCTCGGCCATGCGGGGCGGCGGACTGTAGGGGCCCATGCGCTGGATCACCCGCGCGCGGCTCATGTGGCAGAGGAAGCGCAGCGGCAAACCAAGGCCTATCAAGATGGGCGAAATTATACGCACGAGCTTTGCCAAGCGCTACACCAAACGGCACCTCCCTGCTCTCCGCGCTCGTTTCCGCGCCGCCCACCAGTGGGGCGTGGGCGTGCCGGGCGCTTGTGAGGCCATGGCGCACTGGCGCGGAACGGTGGAGGAGCTGGCCGCCCAAGGTGCCATCCCCGCCTTGGTGGCGTTGGACGTGGGCCTCGTGAACATGTTCGGCAGCGTGGAGTGGGACACGATGCGGTCTTCGATAGACCCGACAGAGTTTCCGGAGATCGCGGCCTGGACCTCTTGGCACCAGCAAGAACCCTCTGAGACGCTCCTCCCTTCCGGCGAGACCTTCACCACGGACCGCGGCGCCGAACAGGGCGACGGCTTCGGAACTGTGCAGGCCTGCCTCACGCTTGCTGCCGCTCGCGCCCCCCACACCGGCCCGCCCGCTGCAGGGGCCGCCGCCTCGGGTTTCTGCGAGCAGCGGTTTATCGACGACGGTCAGGTATTCGTCCGCCCGCACGCGCTGGACCCCTTCCTGCGCAGCCTCGACGCCACTCTCGCGGTCTTCGGCGGCACCCGCGGGACTGTGGCTGCCGGCACCGCCAAAAGCTCCCGCCGCCTCCTCTGCCCTGACAGCGAGCGGCACCGCTACGACGGCTGGGACACGGAATACGTTCGGACCACTTGCAACGTGTTGGCCCCGGAGGGCCCCACCCTGGCACTCGGCGCTCCCTTCGGCAGCCCCGACGCTCTCGACGACCAGGTCAAGGCCGTGCTAACCAAGGCCCGCGACACGCGACTAGCCCTGCTGGAGGTCGGACACGCCGCGACGGAACTGGTGCTCACACTGCTCTGCGCCGACGTGTCGAAGCTCTCCTACCAGCTACGACTCAGCGGGGACAGGGTGAAGGACGAGCACTTGCAGCAATTCGACAACGACCTCCGCGCAGCCGTGCAGCTTGTCGCAGGCGGCGACCTCCCCGACGCGGCGTGGGAGCAGTGCTCGCTCGGCGTGAGCACAGGAGGCCTTGGCATGCGGACCGCCTCGCAGGTGTCTCTCGCGGCCTTCGTGGCCAGCCGCGTGTGCTCGAGGCCTCACGCGCGGGAGATGGCAACGCACCTCACGGAGCGGGGCCTGGGCGAGGCAGGGGTCATAATGGCCGAGTGCGACAGGCGCACGGACGACGCCGCGGCCCGCCTTGTCTTCAGCCTACCGCCCACGGTCGGCAGCCTCCTCGTGGCCGCGCTCTCAGAGGCCGCCGTGGAAGCCGAGGGTCGCTGGGCCGCCCTTTTCAACTGGCACGCGGAGGCGCCCGCCGCCGCGCCCCAGGAGCGCCGCGGCCGCCCCCGGGGCCTCGGCCGCAATTTGCTTCCGCTCGACGAGGACGAGGACAACGAGCACCCCAACTCCGCCCCGCGCACGCGGCAGCTGCACCTGCAGCGGGCTCTACTTCGCTACCTCGACGAGCAGGGACGGCACGACCTTCGCAAAAGGCACGCGGACGCTGGGGACGACGCGGCGCTGCGGCGGCTCGACGACCTCGAGCACTCCGACTGCGACCACTCCTGGCTCTGGAACCTCTCGAAGCACAAGGGCCTTGTGATGGACATCCCCGAGTTCACCGAGGCCCTGCGCCTGCGCGTGGGCGCCGCCGGGCCGCTGGACCCAGTCCCGTGCGGCCTCTGCGGCCAGGCGGTCCTCGACCGGGCAGGGTCGCACGCCCTCTGCTGCTGTCGCGCGGAATCAACACGGGGGCACCACGCGGCGGCGCGCCAGGTGCACGCCGCGGCCAGAGTCTGCGACCCAGGAGCAGAACTCGAGGCCCCGGGCCTGGTGCCAGGAACGCGCCTCCGACCAGCCGACGTGCTGACCGGCGCCCTCGGCAACGGCCTCTTGGCCCTCGACGTGGGCATCGCCTCGCCTGACGCCGTGGCGGCCGGCCCGGACTGCGCGGCCACCATGTACCGGCGTAAGGTCGAGTACTATTCGGCGCACGCCGATGTTCTGGCGCGGCAGAACATCACATACCAGCCGCTGGTCTACACCTGCTACGGCCGCCCCCACCCCCGGACGACGCCCCCGTCGCTCCCCCCCAACCCCCAACCCGCCCCCGCCCGCCCCCGCGCACGCGCGCCTAACGGCGGGGTCTGGTGGCTCACACCCCGCGGCCGTGCCCCCCCGCCCCACCGCCGCCTGCCCGACTGCCCCCCTGCCTTGCCTGCTTGCCCCCCCCCCTCCCTCTCCCGGGCCCGGAGGCCGCGAGCAGTCGCCCCGAGCACCCGGTGCTCGTGAAGCGATTCGTTTCTCCCTCCTTCTCCTCCGCTTCCTCCCTCCTCCTCGTGCCGGCCCCGTCTCACAATTCTCGTGCCAGTTCGATTGCACCCCGGCGAGTTGTTCAGCCGGCGTCTTTTTCTGGCGAGCGGCCCCGTTCCAGCCGCAAGCTCCGGAGCCCCGCGCGGGTCCAGACAGCCCCAAGACGACCCGCCACGCTTGCTTACTGGTCGTATATGTGAGGGGTCGGACGGGCCAGCTTTCGGCACCAGGTCGTCCTCCTCGTCCTCCTCGTCCTCCCTGCTCCTCCTCCCGGCCGCGCTTCTCGATTTTAGCGGCTCAGAAAGTGACGTGTTTACCCGGATTGAGGGCTGCCCCGTTACAGCGTGGGGCTGCCTCGGCATCCTGCTTGGTGGCCTGAGCGGAGGCTCGACTGGCTCGTGCTGTCCCCGTCCTCCTTCCTCCTCGTTCCTCTTCCCGCTCCTTCCCCCTCGTGCCGGCCTTGTCTCACGACTTTTACTGGCACTGCGTGTGGCTCACTTGCTTGGGTCAGGGGCGCTCGCCCGCAAGCATTTGAGTTTTAACCCCCGTGCTCTACTCCGCGTCGCGGTATTAGTGTGACACTTGGCACGGTCAGCCCGCGACGAGCTGCCGGTCCCCGGGGGACGAGGTCGAGAGCGCTGGAGCCCGCGCCGTGGAGCACTGCGCGGCCCGTTGGGAGTCTCGGGGAGCCCTCTTGGGGACGTGCTCGTTGTCACACTGCCCTGGAGTTGAGGCGCAATCAACCCGCACAGCATCGGGGGCGGCCAAGAGGGGGGTGATGACTAGGGGGTGGACATCATGGCAGGGGCCACGATATCTCCCCAGGTTTCATGGCGCTTCTTCTTACTTCAATCTGTCCCAAGCCCCCCTTCCCCCCTATAGGCCGCGCACATGCCGCCGGCCATGATTTGCGCCTCCCCTCTTGGACGCCCCCCTCTTGGCCGCCCCCGATGGTAAGGATGAGAGGCTTGCCAAGGTTGCCCTTGCATCCATCCTTGGCCGCTTTCGCTGGCCGCGCCCCGCTCGCAGAGTGTCGACGTGGCCTTTCAGGACCCGTGCATGCTTATCGCGCGTCCTTCTGATACGGGCTGGCGGTAGGGACCCCCTGGGGGTTCAGGAGAAGCTCTGTCCGTTCCCCGGAGCTGGGTCTCGGGTCCAGTCGTGCGCGCGGCTCGCCGTCGAAAGAGAAGCCCCTTCCTTCCGCATTCGGCGTTCAGTGTGAGTTGCGCGATAATTATGGAGGAAGAGGAGGAGGTGGAGGATGAGGAGGAGGAGGAGGAGGAGGAGGAGGAGGAGGAGGAGCAGGAGAAGGAGGAGAAGGCGGAGGAGGAGGGGAGGGGGACGAGGAGGAGAGGAGGCGGAGAAGGAGGAGGAAGAGGAGGGGAGGGGGAGGAGGAGGAGGAGGAGGAGGAGGAGGAGGAGGAGGGGAGGAGGAGGAGGAGGAGGAGAAGGATGAGGGGAGGAGGAGAGGAGGAGGAGGAGGAGGAGCAGGAGGAGGAGGAGGAAGAGGAGGAGGAGGAGGAGGAGGAAGAGGAGGAGGAGGAGGAGGAGGAGGAGAAGGAGGGATGAGGACTTCTGAAGCGAACTGTGTCACTGGGGTTCAGTCGTGGACGACTCCCTCCTGGGGCCCTTCTGAGGCACCCGAGGGGCTTCCCCCTGAGAATGAGCCCGCTGGGGAGCTGCTGGATCCCGAGCGAAGGTGGAGGTCTGGGGCCCAAGCCACGCGGTGTTTTGGCGATGTCGTGAGCTGTTTTCCTCTTGATTTCGTCTTTCGGCAAATGCGGAGCGAAGACAGAACGAGGGAGCACGAAAACAAAACGGGAACGGAGAATACTGCTCAGCTCGAGCCCTGTGGAGGCCCGAGGTGGAGGAGAGGGGCAGCGGCGACCTCAGGGCATGCCTGCGGCGCCTTGGGGGCACCGTGGCGGATATCAGCGCTGGCCACCACGTGGACGTACCGCGACCTCAGCAGGCAGTCGAAGGCAGGGCTCGACCTAAATTGTTTTTTGCGATTTTGAGGACCGTTTCCGTTTCGATTTCGTTTTGCAGCAAAGGTTGGACGAAGGCAAAGCGGGGGATACCGAAAACAAAACGAAAACGGAAAGCACCGTTTAGGTCGAGCCTTGGTCGAAGGAGTGGCTGGGGTGGTTCTCGGACGGCACCCAATCGGGCGAGCCGGCCGGCTTCTCGAGCGCCGACTGTCTGCTCGGGCGGGAGCTCTCGCTCGACGAGCTGCTAGCGCTGTCGGTCGCCAACCCGGCCATCGTCCTCGCCGCCGCCGCCATGGTCTTAGGTTTCATTTGCATCGTCCGTCGCTGTCGAGGCGAGGACCCCAGGAGGAGGAGGAGGAGGAGGAGGAGGAGGAGACGGAGGAGGAATAATAATAATAATAGTAATGATAATACTCGCAATGATACAGATAATAATGGTTATAATATTCGGAATACTAATAATATTACTAATAATCATAGCGATAATCGTAACACTCATTATAATATAAAAGTGCTAATAAGACGAAGAAGACGACGGAAGGGGAGCCTGTCGAGGCGAGGACTCCTGCCTCGCGGAGGATCTGAAGACGCTGGGGGTGGTCTCGGGGAACCAGTACTTGCCCGGCATCGCCGCGGCGTGTGCGCTGGCCGTCCCGTGCTTCCACACGCAGACGGGAAAGGTTCGGATATGGCCAGATCCCCGAGTAGGGGGGGCCCGTTTGTGATGGGGCCCCGAAGCCCCCAACAGGTGCCATAATTTCTGGGACGACTTTGCTCTAGCTGGTGTTTCGTCGAGTGACCGCAGTTCTGGCCAGCGGACTGGGGCCAGGGAGGCGCCCCCCAGCGCACATCATGAAACCAGGTCCCACGAAACCCGGTCTTTCAACTGGCCGACAGGTATCCGGCGAATCTTGGATGTCCTACTCCCGGTCCGAGAGCTGCGGCAAGCGCATGCCGTACGTGGCCGTGCGGGCGCCAGTCCTCGCCCTGGCGTTCGCTGCGGGACCGGGCCTGTGGTTTTGGCTTCTTCGCCGCCGTGCAGGAGAGAGGCGCGAGCAGTTCTTCAAGTTCCTCACCGCCTCCTATCGTCCAGAGAGCGCAGCGTGGGAGGTCAACCGCCTCGCGAGGAACATGGCCTTGAAGTGCGTTGTGGCAGTTTCTCCTGTCTCGTATGCCCCAGGGTTGCAGCTGACTCTCGCCCAATGCTTGATGTTTTCTTTCACCGCTTGGCACATGAGAAGCCTGCCGTACAAGCTTGACCTGCTCAATTCGGTCGAGGCCGTGTCCCTCTGGGTGTTGAACCTCTGCCTGATGGCCTCCAGCTTGGCGGTGAGCAACTCGTGGCACCTGACCCCAGAGTTCAGAATTCAGTTGATGGTCGGCGTGTACGTGGTGCTGGCGATCAACGCCTTCGGGCTGGGCTTGCTGTTCGTCTGGTCCAAGTTCCTAGACGACGACCACAGGCTCTTCAAGCAGTGACCCTTTGAGAGCAGCAGGAGGTGATAATTTCTAAGGAGCATACCCGAAGAGGGACCGAAGGTCACCCTCAGAAGCGCAGCAAACACAAAGATCAACATGCTTTCGCATGTGATCGTTTTCTCATTCATTGTTTTGCAGATCGGCGCGGGCTCGCGCCCGCCCCCCCTGGAGTGGATCTTGGCTGTTTTGGGCGCCTGTTTCGAGCAGGTGGAGTCCCCCCCCATAGGACGCACTGCTGCAAACAGTCGCACTAAGCAGAGGTCCAGAGCCAGACCCCCCCCTCCCCCCCCCTTCCGCCCAATGTCGAAACGCCGAATAAGAAAACGATCACCATCCAGCGTTCGTAGGAGGTGCGCGGCCGGCATCACAGCGGACAGGTTTCACCCGCCCATTTGATGAATGTGGGCTGGACTACATTCCTCCAGCCAACGCGCGTGTGCTTTGCAAGCCCTCGCGCGTGAACACTGCTAGCCCACGCGCGTGAACAGCACCCCTGTGTTCCCATCTCCCGCTCCAGCTTCGACCCTAGCCAGAGCTCAAGCTCGAGCTTTTGGGTCCACCTCTTGTTTTGCGTCCAGCCGTCGGTGGCAGCAGAAGTCCAGAGCTGCTTACATGCCGACCACGCTCAATCGAAACGTATGTGGGCCGTCCGTCTGCTAGGACCTCAAGTCTAGCGGCATTTCCACATGCCGTTCGAGCTCGAACCATCACTGGAACCCCAAGGGGCCGGACGGTCGGCGGTGGCCGAGACCGCCCCAGGGCACGGCGCCGATGGCGGCGGTGCCAGCCAGTGACGGTGCCTGGTGACCGGCGGCGGCCGACCCCTCGCCGACGGCGACTATGCCAGACGTTGGCGGCGACGGGGACAGTCGTCGACGGAAAAGGGAATGCGGTCCAAAAAGCCGCGGCCCCGCCGGGAAGACCGGCGGCCGCTGGAAGCGGCACCGCAGCCCCGGTTGTCCTCGCTTCCGCAGGCGGAGTCAGACAGCACGGTGTGCTTTGAACGGAGCGTCGTCGATGACGTCGCAGGATACGGCCCTTGGCAGCAGCCCCCGCGAGACCAGGTCGTAGTCGGGGACGGCGACGGCGACGGATGAGCAGTCGGCGACAGGCGGCCAGCGGCGGTCGAACCTCCCAGATCGAAGCCCGTGGCGACAGTGCTGGTCGGTGGCGGCGATCATGCCAGTCGTCGGCAACCAGCGGCCGCCGACCCTCCCCCCCCAGGGATCGGGGGCAGCACAAACTCCTGCAGATACTCGTGCTTTGTTCTCGTTCTGGCCTTGCTGGTCCCCCTGGGAGGCCGTCGTCGCCATGGCTGGATCCGCGTCGGCGTCAGGGTCAGGACGCGCAGCGAGAGAGTCTAGGGTCAAAGGGAGTACCAGCCTCGGTCTCTAAAACGCCTACGGCGAGTCACCGCCGCCCCCTGCATTTCTGGACGTGCCTTTGTGGCCAAACGCTGGGCCAAAGCTTGGCCGAGCTTGCCCCCAGCCATTCGTGGGCGGTGAAACCCTTGGGAGAATACGCTGGGATGAAAGAGGAGGAGGAGGAGGAGGAAGAGGAGGAGGAGGAGGAGGAGGAGGAGGATGCAAAGGAGGATGCAAAGGAGGAGGAGATGGAGCAGGAGGAGGAGGAGGAGGAGTCGGGAGTCGGGAGTGCCAGGACGAAGTCCAGATGAGTGCGGGGCCAGACCACCGCCACTAAGGCCCCTTATGGGCCCCAGTCTTCCTCTCGAGCTCGGCCTTACTGTAGGCCTTGGGGAAAAGCCCCCGCTCGATTCGGGAAAGATATACGGCACGGGTATCGGTCACCACATTGGGGCACAACTTACCCAGGCCTAACAATTGTTGATCCCCGTACATCCCACATGTGGCGCAGAACCAGACCCCTAGGTCCTGGTGGAGGCGCAGCATGTGGGAGGGGTGGGTCCACCCCCCAGCAATGTGCAACCTCGCCCCAGCTGGGAGTCCTCTAAGGGAGCCATCAATAGACACTAAGCGGAAACACTGGGAACCTCTCCAAGATCTAGCAAGCGAGATTGACGCGGACCCACGGCACCGACGGCACCTGCGGCCTGTATCATCCAAGGCGTGGCTAGACTCGAAAAACGACACAGTGTCAGCTGACGGTGGCGGCGGGGGTGTGGGAGCGGGGGCCACAGGGTCGGGGGAGAGGGCGGATCCTCCACCAGTGCTCTCGCCGACCGCGGGGCCACTGGGGCCCGTGCCTCCCCGCCGCCTAAATCTACCTACCTGAAAACCATCACTCAGAAGCTTTTCCTCGGCGGCCATCGCGTCAAGCGATGATCGGAGGATTCGCATTCTGATCCAGAAAACTTCTTGCTCAAGAACCTGGATCGGGGTGCGGACGCTGGCGGGCAAACGAGCGCGGTCAGCGCCATAACAAGCCAGGACGTCCGCGAAAACGTTGCCATGCACGAGCCATCGTTCGGCTTTGCCAGCAACAATATCTGTAGCTTGCATATGACTGTGGGTGAAAAGGACTACGACGTGGCCCCGCTCGCGAGTCTTCATGACCTCGCCGATCTGGGCCCATAAATCACTGTTCTCACCCTGAGGCTGGCGGTCACGGGCCGCATGCCATCCATCAAAAACAGCTTTGTTGTCTGTCACGTATATAAGGAAATCAGATGCCCACCGAAGGGCACAAAAGAAAGTGAACAGCTCGCCACGAGGAACCGTCTGCTCGGGTCCTGGCAGAATCCCTGACAGCGTGCTCGAGAGGACCATCGAGGACTCGTCATCGAACTGAGCCAAGCCGACGCCAACGCGCCTGAACAGCGGGCTGGAGGAGTCGGCACCCCCGCTGGCGTCCCCGAACAGGAGAATGGGGCGGGCGGCTGAACCTGGGCCGAACCCCTCCACCAGCACGTCATCGTGGGAGCCCCACCAGCTCTCGTCCGTCGGCGGCGGCGGCACCTGCATGCGCCCAGCTGGTAGCAGCCCGCGCAGCCACAGCGCCTCCTCGGCCTCATGTTGGGCACGCGCCCGTGGGTAGAGGAAATCCGACTGGGTGTAGGCCTCCTCCCCGCAATTGGCCTCGCAGCCCCAGATGCGGTGGAAGAGGGTCTCTGGCGCGCGCTTGCAGCGAGCGCAGGTCGGGTCGATCGTGACCCGACGCGCCGCCTCCGCCCGCCGCTGCCTTGGCCAACTGCCGCCCGCGGCGACGGAGACCAGGAGCTCCGCCAAGCGACGCCCGCTCGGCGCCTGCTCCAGCTGGCGGAGCAGCTGCCGCATGGAGGTGAGCTCCGTGCCGCCGCCGAGGCCGCTCCCGCCGAAGTGCCGCTCCGCCTGCTGCCAGAGGAGAGCCTCGGAGGCGCGGTCGAAATCCACGAAAAACTGCTTGAACCCATTGAGCACCATGGTATCCGAGTAGCACTCCTCGGGGAAACGCCATTCAGTGCCGTCGGCCATGACCCACAAGGTGGGCGTCTTGGGGTCCCACTGCCGCTCCAGCAGGTACAATATCACCGCAGACATGGGACCCCGAACGTGTCTGGAACGCCGGCTTGCAGGAACCGAAAGGAGGCGACTGACCACCGACTGCCAGACACGATGAACGCCGCCTCGAATGCGTGGGGTGGTGAACCACTGCTTCAGCCAGTATTCCAAGCACTCGTGGGGGAGCTTGATGCCTGGGTCCTGCAGCGGCTCCTTGATGGCCATGAGGGTGGTCTTGCATAAGCCACGACCTCCGCCGCTCAAGACGGCGGCCAAACTCCTTCTGAAATACTCCATGTGAGTGCCGAACGTGCCGAAGATCTGATGCCCGTAGTTGCCAGCGGCAGCGGCGCTGGTGCGCTCAAGCCTGCTCGTGACGATGAAGGTCCTGGCAGCTCTGGCGTAGCGGCGGATCTTGGAGTGAAGCTTCGCATGCTTGGCAACTCTCTTGCGACGGCTCTGTCTGGCGTGGCGTGCGCCGCCACCCTGATCAATGCCAAGGAAGGGGGCCTGACGAACTGCACGTACCATGAACCCACGAGCTCGCAAACGGCGGGAGATCTCAACCGCGTCGCCGTGGACCGAACACACGATGACTGACTTGGGAGAGACGTCCAGCTTCCACTTGGCCATCTCGTCGCACGTGTCTGCCAAGCATGCCGTGACCTTGGCGCGGAGGTGGCTGCTGGGTCCAATCATGCGCTGGGATAGGTCGTCCACCCAAATCCTGTGACTAAACGAGACATGGACTGTGGAAATCTTCGCGAGCACAAAGTGAACCATACACTTAGCAAATCGAGTGCCTCCTCGGAGGCCCTGAATGATGGAGTGCTCGACGGTGAAGGGGTCGCACACTGCGCCAAATTGTTCCAGCGTGCGCGGTGCCATGCACTGGGCGACCTCGAGAAAGAGCACCGCGGGGGGGTATCCTAAGCGCAAAGCCGCGCCTAGGAGTAGGTCCCACTGGATGGCGTCGTAGAAACCCTTCACGTCCAGCATGCCGTGGGCCGAGGCGAGCTTCATGGCAGCGGCCACCTCGTCCCCCAGCGTGCGGAAGAAAGCCTCCTGGAGAGAGGCGTTGCCCAGGACGGCTGCGTCCCAGCCCTCCTCGGCGACGCTGGCCCATTCCCGTACGTGCACCTCGCGCACGAGAGACCAGAGCCTCCCCATGAGGGATGTCAAACCAATGATTCTGTCCCCTTCGGTCTTCTTCGGGAGAAGCTTCCCGATGATCAGTTGCGTCTGCTGTGGCCAGATCAGCGCCGCCTCCAGGTAGTTGAAAAGGGCCGCCAACTCGTCCAGCCCAGCAGCTGGGACACGCTCGATGTCCGCGGGGGATAGACGGTCGCAGCCCATCCCCGTCCTGCACTTCATGCGCCTGGCGGCGGCGTGCACCTCAGCACCTGTGATGGGTGGGGGGGGCTCGTCGCGCGCCGCCACTCGTACCTCATCGACGACCGCCTCCAGAGCCTGGGGGTCGTGAGGATGGGCGTTCCAGATGGCCTTCCACTGGCGCGCCTTGGCGTCGAGGATGTCCATAGGGTGCACTAGGGTCGAGCTGCCAACGACGATCTCCTGGCGGGGGAGGGCGTCCTCGCGCAGCGAGCGGTACACCGCGCCGCTGGCCTTGGGGTCGGTGAGCCACGCCTTGAAGTCGCTGAGGGACTCCCTGATGGCGCGACGGTGGGCCCTCTGCTCGATGCGCCCTGCGAGACCCTGGAAGGCCTCCAGCACGCGGGCCGTGCAGCCACCGACGTTCAGCAAGAGACCGATCCACTCGTCAAACTTGGGCTCGTCGGCCCTGAGCAAACTGGCTACACCTTCGGGTAGGTCGCTCGTAAGATGCTGGCAGGCACGATGTAACTGGACCAGCTGCTTCACTCCGTTGTCACGACCGAGATGACGTACAGTCTGAAGTAATATGGATGAGACTCTCTTCCACCAAGCTGTCACTTGATCCCTGAGTGGGACCTCGCGCTGCCGACCACTGTGGCTGACGGGCTCGATCACGAAACTGCAGCCCGCAGCCCTGCGCGTGCCGACAACGGCGGACAACTGATGGTGCGAGAGAATGGCCTGCTCGAGAGTGGAAACCCACTGGCCGCACCACAAGCTCGCAAACTCCCTGTGCTGAGAGTTGAGGCAAAACACTACGGAGGAGGAGGGGGGGGGGGGGTGAGGGTCCCACGGGGACGTGCCCTTGTTTAGCTCTCGGCACCGTGCCCAAACCTCAGCTGGGATGTGAAACGATGGCTCAACCTTTGACGTAGGGACTTCCTTAAAGGGGGGGGTTAAAATCGAGACGCAACCTTTGGCTGGGGGGGGTGGACCCTGAAAGACACTATTACTGCAAGCTGGCTCAGACGTGTCGCGAGAGGTGACGATGCTGATGGCCGACGGCTCGCTTTTGCTCTGGACCTGACTGAATGCATTTTCAGAAGCCCACGGGTCCTCCTCATCAGGCCATTGGTCGGCCTCGGGAGGCTCGTCACAGAAATCAACAGAAACTGACATGGATTGGCTGCCAGATTGATCTTGGGAGCTCGTCTGGCCCCCGACATGATCTCCGAACAGCACCTGAATCTTTTCACATCGGGCGGCTCGGGCCAGCTCCGCTTTGGCTTGCTTGTCACGCTTGGCAGTAGACGATTTGGAACCAAGAGAGGGCAGCGTGCACGGGCGAGCAACCTGGGGCAGA